AAACATTGGTGAATGCCACAAATTCTCCTAAATCACTCGTACGCACAATTTAAGAACAAATCTGTGCGTACGAACGGTTCTTGCATGAGGCCCAATGATTCTGCCTATAAGTGAGAGAGGTAAACTATTCCATCTTTGCAGGTCCGATTTAATTATCAGCGAAAAGAGAGCTTAATGATCTTGTTACACTGACACCCAGATACTTAAAACCAGAGTAGCTCAACTTAAATGGTATGTCAGAGTGTGAAAGCTTTAATGCAGCCGCATTGATAGGATACATTCACTTTTAGCAACATTTACTCTATAACCTGAAAAAGATCCAAATCTCTGAAAAGTAGATAAAATTGACAGAATGAAGAGAGTAGGATTTGAGATGTACAGCAATAAATTGTCAGCATAAAGAGATAGTTTGAATTCTGTGCCTAACCGGGAAATTCCAGTAAAAGTGTTAGAGGACCTTAAAAAAACTGAGAGGGGCTCTATGGCCAGAGCAAACAGTAGAGGGGATAACGGGCATCTCTGTCTAGTTCCACGGAAAAGTCTGAAAAAACTGGATTGAATACCATTGGAGGAGACACTAGCATGAGAAATATAAAAGAGACGAATCCAAGAGTTGAATCCATCACCCAAACCAAATTTCTTTAACACTGCAAATAAGTAATCTCATTCAACTCTGTCAAACGCTTTTTCAGCATCGACAGAGACCACAACTTCAGGTATTTCAGTGGTGGTTTTAGAGTAAATAATATTCAGGAGTGTACGGACATTAAAGAATAGTTGCCTCCCGTTAACAAATCCAGTTTGCTCATGTGAAACAATAGTTGGTACTATACTTTCCAGACAAAAAACCAAAGCCTTAGCAAGGATCTTACATCCACATTTATTAAAGAAAGAGGTCTGCATGAGCTACAGTAATATTATATTGCAGTAATATTTGTATCAAAGATTTTTATTTTTTTATTTCAAACAAAATTGTACACTGTTGAATATTTGTATTTTGTGATTACTTCATTGTGAGATATTATCGGACACATCTACATTCCTACCAAATTTCACACTGATTGGTGCAGCCATTTCTGTTCTACAGTTGACCAAACATCTCTGAAATATATAAAAATAACCAGTACGAAAACAATATGATACCTGCTTCGCGTGCGGGGGTCATGATAAAAACATAACAATAACAGATGCATTTTAACTTGTCTGCTGTCATGAAATGCAGATGATTATACATAATTACTGCATCTAAATAAGGGGTCTGCAACAAGTTATCATCACACATCAGTAACAGAACTTGTTCAGCCTACTTTCACCTCCGTCCGTCCCTCTCATCTAACAGTACTGCTATTTTGGTTCTTTTTCTGGTTATATCCCATCTAGATTTCTGCAACTCCCTTCTCTTTGGTTTACCTGCAAAATCCATTCATAAACTCTAATTGGTCCAAAACTCAGTTGCTCGTATCATTTCCAGAACCCCTCCCACCAGTCACACCAGCATCTTCAAATTTTTCTTCTTGTCTAGGATGCAAAATGTCTTTAGCTTTAGATTA